CATTTGTGGGTCATTAGGTCGATGTGTCCCGAACGGTACCATTTCTTTTACTTTTCGGGCGGTGTCTTGCACAATGGGAGATGGAAAAGGCTTCTAAAACGTATTCGTACTCGCAGTCCAATCTAAAGGTCTCTTTTAAAACATACTATATGGCGGGATTTTGCTGTAGCTTTGTGCAGACCAGCACAAGTCTCACTGTCATTTAAATAATTCAAGAAATGCTCATAGGAGTAAATTGTTGATGATTAAAGACTGTTCTTAGCTTTTAGCGATTTTTACAAGACACTATGACAGAATTTGAAACATTTGAAATCACAAGCTTATGAATGCATAATTACACATAATAACAAGCCTTTCGAAACACAAACTACAAATGGCGGCCTAAGAAATGACTGGGTTCAATAGTGTTTTCTACTGATTTCGCTGAAGTACAGCATGTTAGCGTTTCAAAAGCAACCCATGCCAGTTAGGCCTCGTAAAGCATGTTTTGTTTTACACCTAAAATATTGGCGTTACCCAAAGACTGACACAAGGATTACACTGTGTGTCACAAGCGGTAACAAATCGGTAGCAAACGCGTTAAGAAAAGTAGAAATTGGCCGAGACGTTGCTAGATCTTACCCTAGTGCCGCTGTCTCTCAAAACATTTTGGAATGAGATTTTAGTTGGGGTACAAAAGGTTACAAAAGTGGAGAACTTTACATCTAAAGGGAGCGGTAGCAGTATGTAGAGTACGCATTGAAGAACGTAACTCTTTGCTAGCGTTTCAAAATAGTTCTAATGTTCAGCTTAAGAAAGGTATTCATAGGTACTCCCTCGCTTTGGCCTGAAAGGGCTTTGATTTCACTTATATACGTATGCATGGAATCAGAATTAAATTAAAGGCACGCAATGCATGCTGAAGCAATGATGTTTAACAGTGGACGTTGCAAAAAAAAGTATAGTAAGTTAAAATGTGCTTGACAAAAGAATTTTCGAATAGAGTTGATTATAAAACATTCGAGTGTGTCTTTATTCAGTGTGTGTGCATCGATAACCAGAAGCCAGCCATTAGCTTCAGTAACAGTTCTACACTGACAATAGGCCGTGTTTACTGCAATGGTGGCAGCGGTGGGATAAAATCCAAGTCTTGGTGGAACTAGAAGTTTGAATCAGTAGCCTAAATGATCAAGGAGTTCGGAAATCCTTGGCTGAGATAAGTAATTTTTGTTGGCTAGTTGTTGGGATAAGCATTTTCATAATTCAGTTTCCGAGATTAGCTGGGTTGTTGTGTCACAACAAAGAGCAATAGTTATGCCCGAATCGTTGGCGGCCGTCAAAGCAAAGATTGGGATTCGTGGCTAGCGCATCCCGAGGATTGCGCGACAATTATCGGGTGGAACGCCGAACAGAAAGAACAATTCCCTAGCCGTTCGGTTGTGCGAAGCAGCTCTACTCCAACTACAAAACTTACCACTGGGCGGGAAAACTTACGTCGATCTTAATTTAAGATCGTCTTAAGCCCTGGCCAAACGGACTCGCAAGTAGACGCAAGTTGAATACTTGGGTCTACTTGCAACTCCGTTTGGCCAGGCCTTCCGTACACTTGCGTTGACTTGCGATGACGTGCGCTCACTATGGTCGAGATTAAATTTGCACGCAGGTCGAAGAAAGTTTTTCACTGTTTGGCCACCCAACCCAAGTCAACGCAAGTTGAGAGATGTCCATTAACCTATTATTAGCCAATGAAATACAAGCTATGTCTGACATGAAGTGTGTTTTTTGCGACTTGCGTGTAGTAGCGAGGAAGTTTGCGAGTTCGTTTGCCACACAACGCAGGTCTTTACGCAAGTTCCACTTGCGCTACTTACGAGTCCGTTTGGCCTCGGCTTTATGGAATAAATGTGGGTATTACGCGAGAAACTCATCCCAAATTTATTATACGGTCGAGGACGTATGACCGGTATCCACAGTATTTCATCTAACACAGCAGTTTATGTTCCTGGGTTAGTTTGGTGACAACCTGTGTATATGTTGGTGGATACTGGGTCCGTGGTAAACTAAGTGCATCAGCGAGGTATGGAAAAATAAAAATAGGAGTTTACATTGGGCGTTTTCAGGGACCAATGGTACATGTATCTGCAAATGACAGCCATTAGATATAAAGAAAATATCTGGACTGGAAATCTCTGTTAATGGGGCGAGTGTTGTTCATCCAGTGTTGGCGGCCGCAAGTCGAACAATATGACCGAGTTCTGGTGCAGCCTAAACAAAAGATGGTGCCACTCCGTGTTTTCAACATGTCACTTACTACCCTCTCCCAGAACACTTCTGTATGTACCTTCACTTAGCTTGAAGGTAGTTCCCTGGTAAGGTAGTTCCTAAGAACGGATGAATGAGTTTGAAGATGAATATATTTGGCGCTAAAGACGATTGTCACATCGAAATAAACGCACCACTAGATATCCTTGAGGACTACATCAGTAGAGAGCAGCATTACAGTGTCAATTTACACGCCATAGTTAACTGCAATTTAAAGTCCATTCAGGTTAGCTTCGGGTATCCTGGAAACATACAGGAATCCAGGCGTTAAGATAAAGTGGGTTCTTTGATTTCGGAGACAACGAAAACATTTTGACATCACCAAAGAAAATTGTCAGTGATACAGAAATCCCCCTCTCTAGCAGTGTGTGGTTGTTGTTGTTTCTATGCTAACTCAACTTTGTATTGATATCACGTTAGCTTTTTTATTGACTTTTTTATTGAATTATTATCTATTTTAAGAGGTGTTTTTTTTTGCCACCAGTGTAAATTTACGTCTTTTAGGATTAGTTTTAATTTTTACGATATAAAGTGCACTTAATCATTTCATGGAAAATAATATTATTATAATTATTATTATTATTATTATCGTCAACTGCCACGCGATAGAAATCTCGAGCTCATAATCTAATCTAGTGATGCCAATGACCATTCTAGAATAGCAAAGAATGCTAATGACTATGCTAGAATAGCAAGGATGCTAATGACTATACTAGAATAATAAGGATGCTAATGACTGTTCAAGGGTTGCAATGATGCTAATGACTATACTAGAACAGTGACAATGCTAAAGTTTATAGTAGAATACCAACGATGCTAGAGATTATACTTAATTAGCAATAATAACAATGACCATAATATTAGAATAGCAATGATGCTAGCGCCTATAAAATAGGAATGATGCCACTACTAGAATAGCAATTGTGCTTATGACTGTTCAAGAGTTGCAATAATGCTAATGATTATACTAGAATGGCAATGATGCCGATGACTATACTAGAATAGCAATAAGGACAATGACTATACTAGAATAACAATGATGCCAATGGCTGTACTAGAACAGCAGTGATGCCGATGACTATAATAGAATAGGAATAGTTCGTATAGTGTGATCGTCCGGGTGAGAGTAGTTCTGAAAAGAACTGCTGTTGGTGACTGACATTTTGACAACCTGAGTGGAAGTCATCTTCAGAGTCAAGTGAATTGTGTTTATCAGTCGATGATGTTATAAGCCTGGTCCGTTGAACGTGATTGGTCAGTTTAGCCATGATGGTATTGGCTGGAAGACTCGTGTAAAATTTGTCACCAGTCATTGGTCGGTTTCGATCCGTCTATTGTTAGTCAAATTGGTCGGATTTTGGTCCGTCTATTGTTAGTCAAATTAAGTCGGCCTGTTAGAAGTTTGTTTGTCGGTTTCGTTTCCGCCGTGGATAAGTCGTTTGTAAGGCGCCGGTAGTTGTTGACATCTGTGAAGAGGCGTCTGAGAATAGCAATGATGCCAATGACTATATTAGAATAGCGACGACGCTAAAGATTCCAGTAGAATAACAAAGGTGTTAGTGACTACACTAGAATAGCAATGATGCTAGTACCTATAAAAGAATAGAAATGATGTCAATGACTATTAAACAATTAGATTATGAGCTCGAGATTTCTATCGCATGATAGTTGACGAGGGCGCAGCCCGAGTCAGCTATCACGATTAGAAATCGAGAGCGAATAATCTAATTGTTTTGGTATAAATTTACTAGTCGTTCAAAACGTTATCGAAATCCTCTTGACAAGACACCTCGAAAAAGCCAAGAAGCGGCCGTTATTTTGTTAGCAAGGGCACACTGCTATGCTACTCACTATCTATCACAGAATAGATAGTGGGKAGCGTAGCCAATCAGAGAACAGCATTCGTGATAGAACGCTAGTGAATTTATACTAAACTAGAATAGAATGACACTAGTGACTATACTACGACAATATTGATGATTATGATTATACTAGTAAGAATAACAGTGATGCCAATGACTACACTAAAATAGCAATGGCACCAGTAACTCTTTGTTCACTTTCATGACTCATTTAAAAGAAAACAAAATTTGTACGCGTTTTCCAAGGAAATAGCGGTCGGACCCATATGGGTCATATGCGACCTCTCACCCGAAACCGTTCCTTACGTGTTAGATTCCTTTATGGAGTGAACTATAGCTGAGACACTCCTTGAGATGCGTAACGGCTTAATAGAATTTGTGTTATTTTCTCGTCGGTGTCTCTTTAAAACCTTGGAGGTGCAGTAAAACTATCATTATCACAAATATTGCTTCCGTCTGTTTATTATGATTTAATGATTATTATGTTATTTCTTTTTTAATAATTATACTGTATTTAATTATATTGTTTTTATTTGTTAATATTAATAACATATAGATTTAGCCAAGCCTAAACGCGGAGCTCCTGATTAAAGAATTAACCATAAATGAAAAGAGGATATTTTTTCCTGGATCAGAAACTCAAAAATGATCAATTGGGAGCATATGATTGTTCAGAGTTCACTAGTTTTTCTAGTTACATTTTAACAAACCATCCTAATGAGTGTTCCCAAGATTGTAGAAATTACGCACGCAATGTATCAGGGACTTTCCAAGAGACGATTGTGCGAGGAATATGTTGGAGGAAAAGTCAACAACGCGTCTGGGTTTAATTTGCGCTGAAATTTTGCCTTTGCATCATGTACTCCCCCCCTCTCCCCAAGAGTAATAACCTGGCTTGAGCACACGATCAAATGAAAAACCCAGTACCTGGTCAGGGGTCACCTTCAAAAAAAGAGCCCGCGATATGACCACCTGCGATATGGTCACTTGATACTGGTCAGCGGATACCTCGTTTTCACAGCTGTCATTTAATTACAACATGGATGTCCGATATCAAAGATGTACCTATGGTAATGGTGTTACTCTCTCTCGGACGAACGGACCTACGTCCGTACGTCCATACGCCTGCACGCCCGTACGGATAGTTACGTGACAACCAAAATTTTTGAGATCGATGGGCTACCAAATTTTCTAAGGTATGGGGCTCCGCTCACACGCCTTCGGCGCCCAGGAGCTCCGCTTTTATTAATTTCCTTACTATGGCAATTTATCGTTTATGAAAACAAAGCCTTTCAACTGTACTCTTGGAATGGTAATTTAACCACGCGTATCTTCTACACACTAGCATTTTTGCTTTTTAATATCTCACTAATTATTTCCTCTTCCCAATCTTGTGTCGTCTTAAATTTGTCATAATCCACCAGGTTCTTCTTTCTCAAAGCGGCTGGTAATTGCTTGTTCTTCATGTTGTTGATCTTTACGAGAATCAGTGACGAATCGCCCTCATCCAATCCTCTCTGCACAGCCATGTGCAGCTCCTCTCGACAAAAGTTGCTGGCGAGGTAATTCTCAGACAAGACAATCAACACTTGACGGCTGCCGTACACACTGTCGGCCATGTTCTGGACGATGGGTCTTCCAATTTCAAAGTCGCGGCTGTGGATGCTGTAGTCAATCGAGTGCTTTTCAAGAATTGAAATGAGATTGTCAGTGACCCAACCAAAGTCCTTTGAACTGTGGCTGATAAACAGTCGGTTTATCAAATCTTCTTTGCTAAGGTGATCTGTCAATGAATGGTGCGCCAAAAAGGATCAGCTTGTCAGCAGCGAAGACTCAATGAACGCTAAATTATAACGCCAAATTGGTCAAGCTTTTGTGTGAGCGAATTAAAAAAATGCGTAATAACAGCCACCCACTAAGTTCCACACTTCAATAAGAAAGCAAACTCTGAAAGGAGTTGACCTACTTTTACCTTGGACATACTTTTGCACTTGGAATCTAAGTCAATTAAGGCTTTTTGGAAACGCTTATGCCATTGTGGCCTCTGAGGTAAAAGCTTTTTGGACTTTTCAAGCAATCGTCTGTTGCGTGACGAGTCCAAAGAACTTCTGTTTATGGCACTGAAAAGAACCGGGGGTATTGGTACCATTAAATTGAACTTACAGTTTGGTATGTTATAGGATGATTTCCATCTCTTCTTGACACAAAATTGCACGGAAACCATGAACAAGACGGTGACACTTGCTGCTGATATGATGATGATTGGTAGAAGCCACTCTCTGCGACGT